ACTGAACTCAATGAGGCTTCTGAGTAAACATACATAAATTGTGCTGCTATTCAGTTATCTCTGAATAGACATGTATAGAATATTGTTATTAAACTGAGATTATCAAATAAATGGAAGTAGGGTATTGTCAGGCTAGGCTATTTAGGTGGATGCAAGCTAAGCCTTACCTGCAGTAGCAACTGCTTTTGAAAATTCTGATCAGCTTGAGCATTTTCTGCAGGGATTGGTAAACAGCAAGTCCAAAAAGCCCCAAACTTTTAAACTAGCATTTAGGGCATTTTATTGCTTTGAGGGTATAGCACTGATAAGGAACTGATATTGTTTATTGATGGAGCATTTTATTGCTTGATGGATATGCTGGTTGGCTGACAACTTATTGTCTGTACTATATTGTTGTTGACTGGATACATTTTATGGGGATTGCATTGTAAGTATCTCAACAGAATACAATTGCAAAACTGTAATTTTTGCAGGGCGACTTAATTTATACTGTTAATTTTATATTATTTTAAGGAACTGTATTTATGGATGTGAGCCGCCTCGAGGCTTCTGCAAATGGGGCGGCATAGAAGTCTCCTAAATAAATAAATAAATAAATAAAACTATCAAATGAAATTTTGAAATAAACAATATAATAAATTGTTGTTGTTTTTTCCTTTTAAAAAGATCTTCTCATATTTATTATAGTGGTTCCCCATGAATGGCTTCTGGAAAACAGTGCTCGGCTCCTTATCTTGTGTGGGAACAATATCTGCTTCACTTTTATGGCCAGTAAAGCTGTGAATGGTCGAGCTATTGAACTGGCAAGGCTGGTGGTATTCCTGGCTTTGGTGAGTACCAATAAACAGACAATTTTCTTTCTCATTTAATATCTCCTACTTTCCAAAATAAAGGTCTTTCAAAGAGATGAACTAAATGTTACATTAAATGTGAGATTGCATTAATGTGTCTGGTTTTCTGCCCTTTTTAAGACAATAGCTCAATGTAGGGAAGCAGTTAGGATCAGGAGAGTGGCATGTGGAGAAGAAGGGCTTTGCCCTCACCCCTCCTGCTTAAAAAGCTTTAAAAACCCTCCTCCAAAGCTGGAATCTGATGTGGGAGGGAAGTTGCAATTGAACTAATATCTGCTTTGGAAGGTGCAAGGGGTATCAAGAATAGATTAAATCCCCTCTCAATGCACCATTGTCCAATCTTGATCCTCCCCCACAGCTGTTATTTAGAAGAAAAACTTAAATACATTAATGCAACTACATATTTAATACCATGGCTGATTTGGCCCTTAGATACCAGCTTTGCAATAAGTTTTCAGATCTTTGCCAAAATTAAAATAATTACAGTAAAAATTACAGAAAGACCATTTGGTATCGTGTCTGATAATACTACAGGTTAATTCTCCTGTCATATACCGTTTCTATGGCAGCCTTCATAATGCCATTTCTTGTATTGTTGGTTGTACAATTTTGCTTTAAATAGAAACTAAGGGAAGCAACTTGTCTACAGTTTTATACAATAAACTTTGGAGTGATAGTTCTTTTGGGTTTTGCTATGTCTACTTTGCCTTTGGGAGAAACTTTGTGAACAATTCGTTAGTGTGAATTGCTAGTGTTCAAGGTCCTGTTCCCTCCCAGGCTCACTAGAAATTATACCTTGGAGTTGGAATAGATGTATCTTTTTCTCTACTGCCAATGTGGAGTAGAATCTTCCATTCACTCATTGTAGCAGCTGCTGTGATATATTTTGAACTGTATACAATAGGACAGCCTTCCCCAAGCTGGTGCCTTCCAGATGAGTTGAATTCCCAGACTCTCCCAGACACCTTGGGAGTTGTAATCACCAGATTGAGAGGAAGTTTGCTGTAGGACAATCCTTTTCCCCTTATTTTTCTTGTAGTAAAGACAGAAGATAAATCCAATCAAATAAATAGACAGGAGGCAAGGTAGAGTATACATTCAATAATGACTGGGTTTGTACAACATGGTAAGTCACTGTGGCTTCAAAACCAAAGTGGTTTAGCATGTTTCTTACCTGGCATGTTTCTTACCCAGCATGTGGCGTCTTACATTTGCCCTACAAGTCATCCTGAACCCATTGTAGGATTTCTTTCCCTGATGGAGTCTTGCCATGTCACCCACACCTGGAAAACATGACCCACCAAACTACTACAAAGCTGCTTGGCAAGAGCATAGTTTGTTGCTATGGCCAAGGGACTCTAAAAGAACACTAATGACAACACAAAGTGCCCAAACAACATTTTGGGATGGTTGTCAGAGGCTTCCTGCACTGAAAGGGCTAGTGGTCACAGTGACATGGAGTGAACTGCACTGTGTGGGCCCTGTTCTGGCTGAGCTTTTCTGTTCAGTGCCGCCACCACAGCAGGGTGAGCCCCCAGATGAAAGGACTGGTGGCCCCAGCTCATTCTCCCCACAACTCATTGTGGTGGCTGCCAGAAATGGGCATGTTCTGTTTGGCCTCCTCTGGCCCTTGGAACTGCTCTTACAGGATTAATGGTGTCCAGCTCCATCCCAACCTACCATTTCCGGCCAGCAGCACTAGTGAAGAAATGGTTCCCGCCTCTGCCTACAGTCACAGCTAGCTCTTTTAGCTGGGCAATGGTGGCAAGGTACCTATAACTTCAGCCTATAAAACAAGCATACATTTTTTTTTCAAAACAATTGAACACTACTCAGTTTGACTTTTTCCTATGTTCTATCTGTTATGTAAAATGTTGGGTTCTTTGACTCAACTGCACATTTAACTGCTTTGGTTGAAAAGTGGATGGGAAGCAAAGATCTATAATTGTTTTCCTCTGGACATTTTGCTTCATGGCTCTTCCTGCTTTTGTACCAGGTATGTGAGAAGGACCTCTATTGTATGGACTGGGCTGTAAAAATGATGCAGAAAGTCTGCAAGGCATTTAGTACTCCAAGTGAAAGAAGCAATTTCCTACAAAGTGTGGAGAATGCCTTTGCACACATCATCATGGATGCGCTGCAGTTGGTGATATCTGGTGAGAAGTCCAATAACAGAAACATTGTTCCTGCTCATTGCCTTGACCTTAATTATCTGAATCCACCAAATTCATTAGGAGCTTTTTTCCATATAAACTCACAAATGCAGAAGCATCCTCTACTGTAAACTAAACTATTCTAATAGCCTTCTCCAGTGTGATGCCCTCCATATGTATTGGATTACATTTCTCATCATTCCCACCCTGCACAGCCATTGGCCATCTTGAATAGAGATGATGGGAATTTTAGTTCCACACATCTGGATGGCATTTGAGGAAGGCTGTTCCAATACTTACAGAAGTAGTTTAATGGAATGCATAAATTCCCAGTAAGTTTCAATAACATGTTTTCTTCAGGAATAAGAACAAACATTCTTTGTTTGTTCGAAGTGGGATTTGAGCCACGACGTGCTAAACAACTCTTTTAAGTATGTCATTTTCAGCAGCTAGAAAAAGCCATTTCACAGAAATCTCAGCAGCTAATAAGAAAATGTTAGTTAAAAAGAGGAAAGAGGAAGTTGGTAGGTGCCTGTAAAGATGTCTGGGGGCTCATGGCGTCCATGGGCCCTACACTGCAAACCCCTACTTTAGACCTATGCTGTGGTCAGTTAAACTTTTTCCTGTACCTACTGGAAAGTTTTGTTTAGAAGATTTATATACTGACCCTCAATATTATTTCTCTTAGGACCAAACATGTAAAATTTTACATATTGCTTATCAGCGAGGAGGGGAAAATGGGGAAGATAGTTAAATAATGGTCATGGGGAGTAGGGATCCAGATTGGATGGTGACAAAATCCACCCAGTTGAGGCTGCTAATTTGCCCTTGAAAAGAAGCTGTTATGAGTTCCAGTATCAGCTTCCCTCTTGGGGCAATTTTTTGTCTTCAGAGGATGAATGTCACTGGGGCTGCAGACTTATACACAGTGGTCCCAATTCTGACTCCCCTAACCTCAAAGCTGTTTTTTAATTGGGAAAAATATGCAGTTATGGAATTGATGCATTGTCCCTTAGGGTAGCCTACAGAAATATGCATCTTTTTATTCAGCTTGGATTTATGATGCTACCCTTTTCTTTTTGAATTCCTTTCCTCTTATATTCTTTTGAAACAAACTAATCACAGAGAATTCTGCATAGCCATAATCCCAGAACAAATGAGGACTAATACTGGATTACTTAGAATTTCAAGAGGCATTTTTTAAGAAATCTAGTCTACGCTCCAGTTAAGTTCAGTGTTACAGCTGAAGCTTCTTATAAACTGATGACTCTCTAGATATCATACAGAACTGAAAAGGAAATGCAAGCATAATGTCTGCTCAGAAATTACTGAATGCCTATGTAGTATCATGTGCTATTGGTTCTCCATTAACATTAAATATTTACAAAAATGCAACCAATGAAGTAAGAAGATAAATAAAAGGGGAGGGGGAAAAAGAGGATTAGGCAGGATTTCTGCTTCCCAAGTGACAAGTCATTAAGTTCAGCACTAATATAATACAGCTACTTTACACTTAGTAGGCACAGTATAGTGTAATCCACTGGCTTCCATGTCTTAAGCAGTTTCTGCAAAATCAGTTTACAAATAAGGATGAATTATTTTAACCTCTTATTTATTTGGCTTAGGGGAGCATGATGAGGAAGATAGCAGCTTTCTAAACCTGTTTCATCTGGTGAATGCACAAGCAAATTTTCATAAGGAAATCCTTTACCTGACCATGACTAACAGCATGTAAACTCTGGAGAAGATACTGCCATGAGCAGTAAAACACATGAGACATTGTTTCATTAAAATTTTTACCTTCACATATGGCTGCCAATATCCTCACCTGCCTTCCAAATTCTCATTTCAGTGAGTATGTGAACACACATTAATATACTGCTTCAGTATAATATTCAGCATATTAATATACTGTATTAATTCAGTACATTAGTATACTGCTTCAATATCCAGAATTATCACCTATCCAGAAATATATAGGTGGAACCAGGGATGGTGTCAGGTACTGAACGTATCAGAGGCCCAGGCCCACAGGAGAAAAAAAAAGAAGAAACATTTTTATATTATGAGTATATGTGCTCTAAAATGTGTGTGTGTGTGTGTGTGTGTGTGTGTACACATGTGTGTCTTAAGGACACTCCTATATGCAGAAAAAAGGATGCATGGATAAGGAATGGGACATCTGATTTCAGGGGGGGGGAAAGACCTTCAGGAAAAAGATATATGGGATGCACAAGGAAGGGAAGTACGTATGGGCGAAAAGCCAGCTTCTCTAGAGGGGTCAAATGTAACAGAGATAATCAGTGCCCCTGTACCTTTATTTCCGCAGATGCTATGGACAACAAGGTGGTGGGGTGGATGGCCTTCCATACAGTCAGGGCTCCAGACCTAGTGGATTGCCTGCTGTGTCGACCTGGCATTCATGTCAACTATACTACTGTAGGTGCAAGGCCTGGTGCAGCAGAGCCAACTCATACTCCCTGCCACCACTGGAGTAAAACGTGCCTAGTCACCTCAGTCCACAAGTGCCCTTGGTCCCTTAGGAATAACTGGTCAAGGATCCCTCTGGGGCCCCTTGCATTAGGTTTCTTTGCATCTTCTTGTGTCCATCAAGATACACAGCTTAAGTTACAAATTTGCTCAAGACATTGTGTGCAACCTGGTTTTTGAATCATTTTTAGTGTGATCAATAACATGGCAAGCCCTCTTGTGAGTCTCCCTTATTTCTGTCCCAAAGCACTCAGTCTACGTTTGGTGAAAACAATAGAAGATTTATTTGGGATTCATGCAAAAAGTACAGAGTGGAAAGATGTTTGGTCAGTTTCAAAGCACCACTCAGCAAGCAGTTTAAAGTGTCAGTATAGTGACAGATGTCAAATAAAGCAGAAAACAGCCTGCCTTAAGCTGCTCACCTGATTCTTTCTGTGGTTCTCCTCTAGTGCCTTTGTAAGAACCTCCATTTCTTTCTGTGAGACCTATACTGTAGCACCTGTACCAATGAAAAGAACTTCCTTTTCTGCTAGATAATAGCTCTTTCAACCCCTTTCTGCTGTCTGGATAGAGATTCCGGAAGATCTCTTGTTTGCATCTGCTGATTATCTATTAATTGTCCATTCCAACTCTGAGAGGGTTTCTTGAAGATTTCTCATAGTTTGGGTCTCTGGGAAATTTGCCAATCAGTATGTTTGACTGGTAATGCCAGTATCTTGCTGCAATTGATTGTGAGAAGGCGTTTGTTTCCACTTGGACTTGGATAAGATGGAGTTTGTATGGTCTAGCTGAGTGAGTCGGCCACTCGTAACATCCTCTAAAATACAGCTTTTGGGTGAACCATAACAGAGGCATGCATCTTAAACATCCCCACAAAATGTCCACTTTTCCCACATCAGTTCTCTACAGACACAACCAGTACAGCACCACAAAATGGTATTAGCTTAATGAGTCCAAAAAAATCTCTCCTTTTTCTAAATTGGTTTCAGCTTTCTAAAAGACACTCTATTTCCTAGTCACTTTGGGCCAAATATTGACAGCAGTCAATCCATCCTACTATTACTCAAGCTTGGCATAACTATTAAGCCTCCAGTTCAGTTAACCTTCTCTTGAGCAATCCGAGTCAGATAACAATATTAGTACTTCCTTACATACTTTAATATCCTGCATTAAAAGGACGAAACCAATTGTCAGTTGCTTCTGGGGTGTCTGAGGTTATAAATGGTAAACTTCTGGGAACCTAAAATTTTGGCTAGAATTTTACTTCAGGGGGTTGCAGTCAGCATAAGAATGGCTTTCAGCTGTCAGAAAGCACAGGTAATTTATTTTTGATACTTCCAGAGACAATGCAAATGGGAAAAAATCTGCATAACAACAGCATGCCTATTGACTTTTCTTAGCATAACAATGATTTTGCCTATTAAATTTTTTAAAAATGGTACAGTTTTCCCTCAATGGGTTTTCATCCTTTTTGCTGGAACCGTAACTCAGAATCTTAATTTTAAGATGACTAAGATTATCAGAATTGAATCTTGCTTTGTACTTTTTTTCAGGGACTGTGTTTGAGGTCACAAAGTCACTCCATCCAGCTATTCTTATGGAGCTTCTGGGGTGCCTTTGTCACCACAAGCATTTTTAAATTAAAGGTAGAAAGACAAAATATGAGGAGAATTTAAACCAAGCAATTTGTGATAATGTTGGTAAAATAATGAGTTGGTTGGACTATTCATGTGTTAAATTACGGTACAGAATTTGTGCCTGGGGTACTAAAGTGATTCCAAAATGAGGGATGAAGGCTAGAAAAACTAATGACTCATTTAGGGTGCAATCCTATTCATGTTTAGGCAGAAAAATGTTGGGAGTCCTACAACTCTCAGCATTACTTCAGCTAGTTATACCGCACACTGTAGTTTTTTACTGTCTAAACATGCATAGCATTGTGCCCTTAACTGCCATTGATTTCATTTCATTTAATAGAATTATTTCTTTGAGAAGCCTGTGTTGACATAATCACCGTCATTTCTTAACTCAGAGCTAACATCACTGCTTTGCCTAGAAATGAGACAAAGGCATTTTTCATTTGTGTATGTTAAATTGCTTTATATTTATCAATGTTGTGGCTGAGCTAAATTATGAAACAGGGTTAAAACTGATCAACTAGCATCAATTCTGTTCCAAATTCATACCTGTGCAAACACAATACCAGCGTTCAAGGGAAGGAACATGTTTGAAGAGGCAGTGTGTATGTGTGTGGGAAACAGATGTATCATGCAAATCATATCTACCTATATCTCCCTGTGAGGCCAGCCTAAAGGCCTATGCAGGCCAGCATCTTGTTTTCCACAGTGGCCACTGTGTTACTTCTGAGAAGTTTGTAGGCTAGGAATGCGGGCAATACTGCCCCTCCACTGTTCTCCTGCAACTAGTATTCAGAGGCCTGCAGCTTCTGATCTTGGAGGTAGCATGTAGCCATCCTGACTAGTATCCATAGATGGTCTTAGCTGCCATGAAGTTGTCTAATCCCCTTTTAAAGTCACCTTGTATAGTGATCGTCATCATATCTGCAGGCAGCAAGTTTACTTGTGTGCAGTATTTGCTTTTATTTTTCCACAGTTTACTTGTGCTCTGTGAAATACTTCTTTTTATTTTTCCTGAATCTGCTATCATTAGTTTAACTGGATTGTGAGTTGGTGGAGTGCTGGTGATCTTGACCCATTGCAGCAAAAACTGTGAAGAATGTAGTAGCACCTTAAAGCTCAGTACATTTATTATGGCACAAGCTTTTGTGGAATATGGTCCACTTTTTCAAATTATCGTTTTGGTTTCCCTTTCTTGGACCTTTAGTTGCTCTTAAAATATCTTTTAACTGAAACTGTACATAGTGCTTCAAATATGGTCTCACCATAGATTTCTATAAGGGCATTACAATTAAATGTTTACAGTCAGAATCATGGACTGAGGAGACTTTTATTGGATCAACCTGTATGCAAGTCACAGATTAACACTTCATCATGTAAAATTTATATTCAGAACACAAAAGGCATAGTTCGTATTTTTTGGTCAACTGATTTCTTAACACTAGAAGATGGATTGACTGCTAATTAGATTTCCCCTTGGCTATGTTATGGGGGTGAAATTACTGGTTCTCAGATTACAGAAATGAGGAATGACTAGATTAAAACAATATGATGCAGTGGAGAAATATTATTTCACGAACACCAATTCATTACATTTATATCCCACGTTACTTCTAGGCAGCATTCACAACTCCCCCTATCCCTGCCATCCCGTTTCATCTTCGCAACAGATCTGTACAATAAATTAGGCTGAGAGATCACGACTAACCCAACCATGCCCAGTGATGTTCATGGATGAGTAAGGAAGTGAACGGGGGGGGGGGGTCTTATTTATCCTAGTGTAATATTCTAACTCACAGGTAGTAAATCTTTGACTGTTGAACTAGAGTGGGCCCAGCCGCCAAGTTCTCCACCTGCCTATGATCACCCCTTCCTGATGGTGGCTGTCTGCTTTTCTGCCTCTCAGCAGAGTAGGGCCAGGACAGATTGCAGGGAGGGAAGGTTTAAACTTTTTGCTGTGATCTACTTCCTGCATTGTCAAATTGATAGTTGGGAATTGTGCTGTAGGGAAAATAAATTTGAAATAAATAAAAGAGGAGAATGCAGTATCTTGTTAACCAGGATATTGAGCGAAGGGATTGCACAGGAGCAGCCTCCTTTCCACTCTCACAGAATCCCCCACACTTTGCAGATGCTTCATGTCAATCTGTTGAGTAGTAGGGATGGGGATACTGGGGGAAGGGGAAGTTAAACCTTCCTTTTTCTGTTGATCAGAAAACAACTAAGCAATGGGGGACATAACCGAGAGAGGAGTATACATACTTCTGGGTTTGGCTCCACCCTCTATTGGCTTTATTTAGCCATGCCTGGGTTGGTAGGTGCACCGCAATGACTTTCCCAAAAGGTGGGGTGTGTGGAATGCTTGCTCCAGCACACCAGCAATCTACAATGGCTAAACTAAGGTGGAGTTGTATGTGTGTTTGAACAAAAAATAGCCTTACAACTCCCAGCATTTGTCCTCCAGCTGGGAACCCCTGGTCTAAGTATAAATAAGACTGCACACAAAACTGCCTTGGAAATGGGACTAAAAAAATCTGTTTGGCCTGAATTTCAAGGAAGAACTCACCTATACACTTCTCAGGGTAAACTGAAAGGCAAAAATCCCATC